AACAATATAAGTAAATATAATAAATTTCTACCCAAGCCTGGGAATATACAACGGTCTAATTGCATGTGCTGCAATTCTTGTTTATAGTCGCACAATTTCAGTATTTAAGTAATTGGTATAATAAATGAAAACCGCGTCTGTTTGCCTTGCTATATACATTTATAGGAAAAAGTAACTCTATCTCTGTGTAATTTAGAGTAGCAAAATTATTAACATATTTTAAATCGATTAATTGGTAACTCAACATCCTAAGAGAAGAAAAAAACGATTAATAAACCACTTTTATTGTTTTTTTATAAAATCGTGTACAGTAAAAATTAAATAATTTTTTTATTATGCAATGCAAAAAATAGTTCAAATAATGTAATATGAAATACAAAATTAGATAAATATCTTTTTCTTGCTTATATGCATACAAAACTATATGATATACCAAACCCCGTTTAAGCTCGTAAAAAGTTACATTTTTTATCGTTCATTTTCAGATTAAAAGAAGAACTGAAACTTTACTGTTTTAGCCCTTTGTGATCATTTAAAGTGGTTGACAAAATAAATTATAATTATGAATGAAACATTGAAAAATTTTTATTTTTGCAATATAATTACTTTGTAGATATATAACTAATTATCAAGAAAGCGGGCTGACACAATTAAGGCATCATATTCGTTTTCGGGATAATAATTCCCAACTAGTGAATATATTATAAGCAGCCGCGTTACCATATTGGCTTGCAGGAAAATGTAAACAAAAACATACGGCTTTGGAACTAAAAATAAAGAAATCAATGTAAACATAAACCACAAATTTATAAAATATAACGATAACGATGTTTATACAAAAGTAAACAGGCTTGTTTATTGATTAGTAATAAAGAAGATTGATTAGATAAAAAATTTAAACAAATGAAAAGGTAGTCGGGAAGAACACTTTAAAAAACGTGATATTGTCGGAGCTTTTGTGACATCAACGTGCTGATTGTGATTTATTAGATATTTAGCCCACGGTATAGGATGCAGTGTCAGTCCCTTTCAATTAGAATGGGCATTTTAACTGGTGCGCGAAATTATTTACAAAAAATTCTCGTTTATATGCAACTACGTGCATAGTACTGCCCACCGAACGGGAATGGAAAAAAATAGCTCCTGATTTCAGTACCTTATTGCATTGGCGCAATTGACGGCAGACAAATTACTGTTGTTTGTGCCCCCGAATTTTGATTACTATTTCATAATTATAAAGGTAATAAATAAAGATTTTTATAAAATTTTAATCTATAAGTTTTTTCTCTTTGGTATTGTTAGGAATCTGTGATGCGAATTATACTTTCAAAATTGTAGATATTGGAGTTTATGATTCCTAAACAGACAACGATTACCATTTTAGTGGTGATACTTCTTGCGTTTTTTTATAATTGCGTTAAATTTGTTGATTATTTAAAAATTTCAAGTACCAGAAATTATTTTGCCGGCATTCTTAATCTTTAATTTTATTCATTAGTGTGAAATCGAGAAGTTACTATGTTAATCTCTACAATGTGCTTAAATTTTATGAATCCATCGCATGCCTATTTTTGTATTAATTGCTCCGTAGTTTGAAAATTACCAATTATTATTACTCTCTAATAAAAAAATTTGATGAATATATTTCAACTTTAAAATAAATGGTCTTTATTGTTTGTTTTTCAATTCTTATAAAGCATGGCATAAACCAAAATCACAAATCACTTATTATAAAAAAAAAATTTCAATTAGCATTAGATAAACATAAATTAGATAAATAACTTTAAAATTGACAAGAAATGATCATTAATTCCTCCCATACGTTTGTTTTCTTATTTTGTTTACTTATATGTATGAATGCGAAACCATATGATTTCTCAATTCCCATAAAGTTTTGTAAGTCGGTAAAGTTGAAATCGATGATAGAAATAACTCCTCATTGTGTCAGCCTCCATAGGCATTAATTGATAACCGGAATAGCTGTTGCTGAACGTAAAAAAATTAAAATCATGTCTGCATTAGCATTTGTCAGCGATTATTAACCGGCTTTTTACAACCTACATAAATGTATATATTTCTCAAATCGTTCAGAGAATCTATCGAATGTGTGATATCAAATTTCTAATAAGCTCCTCTGTGTTCCTGGCTAGCATATTAAAGTCTATATATTTTTGCTTTTTATCCGTCCGTGTGTATGTCCGTAAATATTATATTGTCCTGTCGCTAAAAGTATCACCGATAGTTTTATTTAATAGGAACAATTTTAGGATTAATTTCATTTTTTTTTATCAAAATTGTTTCAAACAATGATTTTAAATTCGTACATAAATAATGATATCCGAATGGAGACTGTTTTTGAAAGCTTGGAGCCTTAAACTCGAACCGTTTTTTAGTTCGTATACAAACAACGAGAAAACAAGTTAGGATCGGTTTATGGTGCTTGATATTGAGTAATTTCGATAGCTGTCGATTATGGAGTGTCTCTGTAACGAATCGAATTTATGAACTTCTATAAATTGTTTTTTTTTTTTTTTTTTTTGCTATCGATTGAAAATTATTTTGATTGCGAAATGGCTGTAAACGATCGAAAATGAGAACGTAGAAAGGAAGATCCTCGAAGGGCACCGCCTTTCAGAATAATCCTAAATAATACTTTATGGTTCTCGGATGGCGGCACAGTTACTGAAAGGCTCATAATAACGGATTTAATTATCAATATAGTATATTTTTGATATGCATAGATTTATTTATTTATTTCAACAAATTGATATATATGCAAGGGTGCAAACTGGCTACAAATGACATATATAAGCAAATGCATTAAACAAGTTTCTTCTAAATTTTCGATACGAAAAAAATTTGCAAATAATTTGAATCGTTCTACGTCAGATAAATGATAGTATATGCGGCGTACGTTTGCTTTTATTGCAAAGAGTTGATTAATATAAGTCTCTTTGATCGTGCATGAAAAGCAGATGAAATTTTTGTGTGAAGATTCTAATGAACAAGATGTGCGCATACACTAAGTTGCCGTAGAAGGAAGGGGACAATGTGTTACTCGCACAATTTATTAGGGCTGCCGCGTAGCCGAGTAAATAGCTGCCGCCTGCAAGCTAGTGTTAATAGCTTCATATCTCAGCAATGTCTAACACTTAATAGTATACTCAGATCATATTATCATAATTATTATTAGGTCTTAAATTCGTATGGAAAACGAAATCTTAATTTTGTTTAATTTTTTGAATAGTGGGATAGGATGTATGCAATCTACTGCTGCGGTCGCTCCATATCTTTTTTCCTTTCCTTACTACTTTCTAACCCCCACCAAGTTGCAAGCATCACGGGCATAGTGTTAATGTTTGCTCATATTGAGAGAAAAGACAACTAATTAGAAGCATATAAAACTATTCAGATCAATAAAACAAACTGAACTTAAAAGTAGTGGGTATACTATAGACGGCCAGGCGCAAATCGTTTAAGATTGACTATATGGTCTCGAAAGAAAATGCTCAAATTAAATATACTTTATTATGAACCCTTCATAGTTGTTTTGCCTGTTGCTGTTTAGCGTGCACATTAACTTAGTATCGTAAGCATTTTCATATTCTGGACTAATGCGTTTTGCGATTATTAACAATTAGTTATGTTTTCATAGAATAACGACCGAAGGACTTTTTGTTTTTGTTTCTTGGACTCTTTTTTTTTTTTCACATATAATTACAATTTTGTAACAGAGATGCTTCCTAATAAAAGCACGAACTTTATCCCGTTTATCCGGTTGGGTAAAAAAACCTTTGACCTTAACAACATAAGGCATATATTATTTCCTCACCTCCTAGATAGTGCTTTCTGTAACTATATAACTCTATCCACATGCATTTGCACAAAGACATGGTTCGTGAGCCCAGGTAACGTTTATTGAGAAATTGTGTTCGTAATCGGTTCTGAACCGGGTATTTATTGCATTAATCAATAAAGTAAAATTTTAATTAATTATCATCAAATGAAAATTAATTCGTTCTCGAAAAGGCGTTGCGCGCAAATACCAAAGAATCCCTTAGAAAATAAATAAATACTTTCATTGGACCAGGAAAACGATATCACATTCCTTGCATTCCTTGCTTAAACTAACTGAACCAGAGAAGTCGGCCTACATTAGACGCAATTAATCTCAACCGCCTCATTATCCTACGCGTAATTAATCTAGTTTCAGAACTAGAATCCCGCGTATTAGCAAGAGTCCCCCTTTTGTGAGGAATTATATTTATATCAATAAGTTTAACTTATTATTGACAAATACTTAATAAATTAATCTTAATCTGTCTTAAAAAAATAATAATAATAATAATATTTAATTTACAGTGACATCTGAGTGGCTGATAAGACTAATGTGGTGTTGGCTTCAATCAAGGAATTCGTTTGCATAAGTATTGGGTTTAGACTGTACTGCGACACAGCAGTAGCAGCACATGAAGATTGCATCGAAGTTGGTGATGGGGTGCTTTGTACGACGTTCACTTGTTGTTGCTGATGTTGTTGTTGTTGTTGTTGTGATGGCGATTCTAGAATTTGTTGCGCCAATTCAGCAGGCAATTGTACTTTCTGCAAGCGTCCCGTAAACGAAGTCATTATTATGCCGTGTGCCGCTTTAACATGAGCTTTTAATCCATAGCGTTGCAGAAACGCTGCTCCGCAGACGTCACAACGAAACCGTTCACCCGTATGACGGCGTATATGTGCTTTTAAATCGTTACTTTGCGCAAATGCTTGAGGACATTGAGTGCATTTGTATGGTTTTTCGCCAGTATGCGTACGCATATGTATGGTGAGATTGTAAGGCCGATGAAAACCTTTGCCACACAGATTACACAAATTTGGCTTAATACCGATATGATATCTATAAAGTAAAGGAGAGATACACAAATATACATCTGTAATCGTAAACTGAACTATTCATTAACCTCACACCTTTCATGCATTTTTAAGTCAGTGCTGCGCGGGAAACCTTTTTCGCAAAAACGACATTTATAAGGTTTTTCGCCTGTGTGCCTACGCATATGTATTTTAAGGTATTCATTACGTTGAAAACTATCGCCGCATATGCTGCATAGGAAATTTCGCGGTTGCGTATGCATTTTCTTTTGATGTTCCTTAAGTAGGTCTTTATCGTTAAATGTTTCCGGACAGTGCTTGCAGACATATAGTCTAGCTCCATGCAACTGTTTGTGTTTCATCAGATATGCTTTTGTTGTAAATTTCTTCTCACACATATCGCATTCAAATAGTTTAGGTGGGGGCGGATTATTACCATGACGCGTTTCTTTATGACGCTGCAAATGGTCTTTGCGTCCATAGGCACATGAACACTGATCACATTTAAATTGTTTTTCAGTGTGCAGACTGGCGATATGCTTTTGTAGATGATCGCTACGCGAGAAACGCTTACCGCAATAACAGCATACATGCGGTTTTTCATCGCTGTGCGTTAACATGTGACGTAATAAATGATTGTAACGTGAAAAAGTGCGATTGCATTGTAAGCAGCGATTTTCTTCATTCTTTGATGCACCGTAACGTCGTCGCGTGGTGTGACCCTTCACGTTGCTAACAAAATTATTATTTTTACGTATATTCTTTTCAGCCTCTTTTGCCTCTTTTTTCATTGTTTTAAAAACTCTTAAGTTTTTCGTTGGTTTTAAAATTTTATTATCATTATTAGCATTCTCTTCATCCATATCTTCAATATCAGAAATTGGTTCACAATCGTGATCATTGTTCTCATCACCAAAGTTTTGCTGGTCCTCTTCTTGCATTACTTCGTCCTCGGAAAGTGCTTTTTCATGTTTTAAATTTGTTAGATTTGCTATTGTTGTAACTAAACGTTTTTCTCTCGGTGTGTCAATTCCCCTCTCGAAATCATTAAAATTAAAACTTTCTTCCGATTTTTCCACTGAATTACAAACAGCAGTTTATCCATCCATAGGGGAAATAAATATAAAAGAATAAAAACAACTCAGGTAAGAAAGTCATAATTGCTTTGTCATGAAATTTCGATATGTGTCTCAAGTGTGACGGGAGTTTGTCAATTCTGCGCGTGCCATTAGCCTGAAAAATTCCTGCCGCCAACTTTATTTAAGTTTGATAAATTTTCTTAATAATAATAATTTTAAATTCTTGGTAAACTATTTTGAAGATTTATGTACCCTTGGACTGTAAATATAATTAAGGACAGTTGAAGAGTTTTATCTCTATTTTTGGAAACAGAAGCAGAAGCTTCAACAATAACCAGCAGGCGAACGGACATCAGTGAATTGACTCAAAATCTTATGCTAATTAAGATATATAAACTTAATAGGATGATTGACGAAATGGTAAAATTAACGCTCCATCCTGATGTATTCGATTTTTTGACACGTTGTTGTCAGTCAATTTGACAGGACCAGTCGATACAGATTTGTAATCATAGAGACCTTGATATGTTAATCGATGAGTGAGAATTATCATCAACACTCTCGAGTGTAGCCAGACTGCATCTTATTGGATGGGAGGGGATTTACATAGGAAGTTTGGTGGCTCGCTTATGAGGATGATTATAATTGTTGAATTTACTCTGTTTTCCTTTGTTACTCTAAATCTAATCACCTTTTATTGATATCTCGGGCTGTACTACATAATCCGTAAACTCTTTGACATCTTCTTGTTCCCCGCTACTTAAGCTATCACATTTTTTTATCTGATATACGTTTTCTTCATCGTCATCGCTCGAGAACGGATTAACTGCAGCCATGCTAGTGTGTTGTTCATCGTTTACTTGAGGTAAAGCTTCCTCCTCATCCTCGTAGTCCAACCAATGGCTGCTATGATTGTTCAAACTAGTATCAGTGTCAACTCCTATTAAAGTAGTAGAGGTAATAGCAGTGGTACTGTTTGGTGGATTAACTTGCTTTTCAAACTCAATTTCTGGTTCATCGAGAGTTAACTGAACGCTACCGTCAGAAAGGAAGAAATGGTAATTAATAATTAAACGATAGAAATACTACGCAAAAAATTTTATATGTTAAAAAGATCTTGCGGAGTTCCAATGAACCAAGCGAACAACAACGCTATAAAGCTATTATTCATAAAACGCCAATGAAAGAGGTTTCGTCCGAGTTAAATACTGCGAGCTTGCTTGCCATCTTTTTACGGTTGTGTTTGTCGGGAACTAGCCGATAGAAGTTCTGGAATTTAAATCGTCTTCTATGTCATTGTAAATACGGCTCGATTATACAACATATAGTTGATAATGTTCTAGAGCTTCGCTGGATTCATACTGATATGTTTTAAAATGATTAATCATTTTTCTAGCGTTACTAGCAGCTACCGCTTAGAATATTTTTTTTTTAAACGAAAAATGTATTTGATCAGTCGTAAATACGTTTCTGGGCACACAATGGGTGCTTATAAGCAACAAAATACCTCTCAATTTCTGTGCTCCCCATCAAGTATAAGCAAATTTTTTTGTCTGACAATTTGCAACGCACCGACATTTCAGACACCGTAAGATATAAGTAAATTTGTACTCAACTTCAAGACTTATTGTGAACTTGAAGTTAGTTATCCACATTATCAGTCACTTGTCTGCAGAACGCTTCACGAATCAAGCTTCAAATGATGGCATGACTTTAAAGGATTCGCTCTAAGGTAAAAGCGCTTTTAGTATTTTTTATTATTAAAATTTAGAAGCTTGGGCAGGCTATTAATTCCAGAAAATAAAACAGTACAGGTGGATGTACTGTAATAATTCTTCAAAGTTCATTTAGAATTGAGTGTATAGACAAGGCCAGAAAAGGATTGATTTTCTGTAAGTTCAATAACGTAAATGCACGAATAAGATTACAGAAAAATTGGAAATGATTCCCTGCAAAAGATTATTTATAGTAAGCCGAAAATCAGTTTCGAAATTATTATGTCAGTTATTAGAATGTTATTGTATTGCACATTAAAATTTACATTTGGCAGACAGACCTTATTACACTCATCAACTTTTGATTAGTTGTTAGTGAGAAATGGACCGATTTTCTAATACAACCTATTGGGAATTCGTCATATATAACATGATAAATAATTGTTTTGACTAACCTATTATTAATTTTATCTTCTTCCAACTCGTATTTGTGTACGCAACGTAAATGCCGTTTCAGATGATCTTTACGCGAAAATACTTTCGAACAAGTACTACATTTGAAGTCACAATGTATACCTTCATTAGGATGTTCAGTAGATAGATGAACTTTCAACTGACCCAAATGTATAAATTTCTCACCGCAAACGCGGCACTTACGGCCATTATCGTTGCTATGCTCCTGCATTCTATGTTCGCGTAGTTCTCGTCCTTTAAAAAATTTTCTCGGACACGATTCACATTGATGACAATTCTTGTGTTCCGTTTGGGTAAATTGTTCGCGTGTGCTTGGAACTTTAGAAATCTGTCTTTCATCCTTCGGCGTCCATGTTTTATCGTAATAGGCTTTTAAACGACAATAAGCTTTTTCTGTTTGCCTTTTAAAGCAGTATGCTGTGCGCGCCGCCTCCTTACAAACATTACAGATATGCGTGGGCAACTGATCGCTATCCAACACTGGATATTTTGTGCATTCTGTTATAATTTCAGCCAACGTAGCTATTCTATCCTCAAGAACTTGAACTTGGTCCTCAATAGGATACAAATTAATGTTCTCCTGCAAACATATCCGACATATGATATTGTGATTAGTTTGGACTTTAATATCCATGTTACTAATGTTATCAAGTAAATCTTTTTCAATTTGTATATTATTTCCCCTTTCTATTATTGATTTTGTTTATTAAAAGGGCTTGCGAAGTTAAGAAAATTACAAAGTCTTCTTCTTTTTCATTGCAAGAATTCAGTGGTAGTTGTCGACAAATGCTTACATTAATAGTTGGATAAATCCGTACTAAAAATGCTCAAATATTATTATTATTATTATTATTTTAATTTTAGACTAATGAAATGAATTCTTAGACTAAAAAAAAGACATTGAGCACTAGCAACACAGGCTATCGGCTCTAATTTAAATAAATGGATATTAGATAGTGAACTTAGTAGTATTAAAAAAGTAATATATTGAATTGATATTCTGTTCTGAAGCTGATTGTAGAATGTTCAAAGGGTTAATCGTTCCAAATGCAATACTTCTAGCCGAGGAAAAGTTGAGGCAATCGCAGAGAATGTGCTTTATAGTAAGAGTTTGTCCACAACAGCAGATTGCGAAAGAAGACTTCTTCAGGATCCATTGGTGAGTTGCAATTGTATGACCAAGGCGAATTCTCGAAAATGTTTGGATCTTGGTTTTCTCAACGTTTGTTGGATATAAAGGTGGAGTTAATTGAGGGTTAATGCAAGAGTAGTGTTGATGATGGTATTGTGAATTTCCTTCTGCAATTTTCTCTAACTTTTCTTCCAATGTATCTTTGAAGATCCAACTTTTCCATGACATCATCCATAATTAGAGGAGCAAAAGCAGCATACTTTGCCGCTCGATCAGCCTGCTCATTTCCCAGTAAACCGATGTGACTTGGTACCCATAACATTTTAATTTTTCCGTCGGGTGTAGTAATTATATTCCTTAATTTGTTGATGGTTGCTCAAATATTAAATCCATTTTTTGTTATAAAATCTAAAGTTAAGAAAATTAAAAAATTGTCTGGTATATTGTGCGACTCCAAGGAAGTTTTGAGATTTCGAATATAACATGGTTCAATATCATAACATTAAAATCGTTGTTGTGTGTTCCAATATTATTTTCAACAAGAAATTGGTTCTCCTTTTCAATTCGAAAAAAAAATTGGAAACGTTTCAGAAGACTTTTTGCAGAATTGTTGCGTTTGTAAACGAACTATTTTCGACACAGTTTAAAAGTAGATTATTTCAAGATTAAAATTGCAAAATATATATTCTCATAAAAAAATTTTGAAACATAAATTAATCGCTATTTTTCTTTAAAAAAATGCGTATAAAAAATTTGGTCACAACCGAATATAAATTTTATTTATTTATTTATCCAAAAAAACACGATACAAGCCATTTAGGTCAAAACGATGTACTTATATAATCCAACCTAAATCTTACTAAATCAACGTACTTAAGCTACAATAATAATTCATATATATTAATAAATATGGTGGTACCACTAATTGTACTACCAGAAACGGCTCCCCAGCCAAATTAGCTAGAAAATACGCAGTAACTTTCACGTGAAAAAAATAATCCCGGCCAGTTCTAAGTGTAGCAACGATTTACACTCATACATACGTGCAGTAATCCTATGTGGCTACTAGAGAAGAGCCACTCTTATCACCAAAGATCTATCGAAAATTAATCTAAGGATCCTTGCAGCATAGTTTCGAGTAAAGTGCAAAAATCAAAACTCATGGCATAACAGAGACGGAAATCATCAAAATATTAAATTCCACTAATGTTAGTTAAAGCTCTGATTACAAAAATATTGCAAAACATCATTAATTAAGGTGAATTCAGTCTGCTGAAAAAGGCAACAGCGACTTTATTCCTTACCTCAAAAAGTTAAGAGAACTAAAAAAGAAACAAAAAATTAAACATTCTTTTATAAGAATAATTATTTGCAATTTTAATGTTGAGAGAGCGAGAGGGAAACATAATTCACATCATCATAGCGTATGAAAGCAAATCGATTTATGTTCTAATATGAATGCAAAAACCCAACAACATTTACGACAATTGATTTGCAATAAGCAAAAGCAAACTCTCTTAAAAAAATCGAAAAATAAATAAAATAATGTCCAAGAACAGGTATCTATAAATATGCAATAACGTTTTTGTAAAAATTCATTTTACATAACAATATTTGTAAACAATAAACAGTAGAGCGTAAACTTTTTGGAAAGTCTGGCATCTTTTCTCGATTGTGTTATTTTCATAGGCAAATGTAATGATATAATAAAAAGTCAGTTTTGTGATCTTTAAAAAGATTTCTTAAATTATTCTTAACAAAATGCTTTGCCTTCGGCGGAAAGTTATAAGTGAAAGTATTCTGCAATTAGTAAACACCGCCCACTTAAATAACGCTTCATTGCATACGACTCCGACATGTAATGAAATACGTAAATTGGCTCGCTTGCGTGTTGTCGACAATAGTGAAATAGGAAAACGTGCGATGGCCGAGGGACGTCCACCGCGTTGTATACATGTTTATAATAAGCGGGGAGTTGGTTACATAGGTGATAAAGTATTGGTAGCCATAAAGGGTGAAATGAAGAAAGGTATCCTAGTCGGCTTAAAACAAAATCAAAAACCAAAGGTGCCGAAGTTCGATTCAAACAATTTAGTATTGATTGATGATAATGGTACACCTTTGGGAACACGGGTACATGTTCCCATACCCACCATATTAAGAACGATCCTTAAGGAGCGTACCCACGCAAAAGGTGCTGACTACACTAAATTATTGGCCATTGCTGGTCGCTTTATATAAATGCGTTTAATAGAAAAAGAAAATGTTAAAATAAAAATGTTTTTAATTAATAATATTTATAGAGTTTGTCTTTTATGATCTTGTTCGATTGAATCGTCATCAAAATCGCTCATATGTTGGCGTTTACGTTTCATACAATGCTCCTGAACCATAATGGAAACCGTCAAATTATTTAATTTCATTTGAAGCCAATTGGTATACTGGAATATGTTTTGTTATTTAACTACTTGGGAAAAAGTTGTTTTAAAAATCTTACCAAATTATTCGTTTTAACACCTTCTTCATATAATTTGCTTTCAATATTATCTAACCGATGCTCTGGTTTGCCGCGTTCGATGATGTTTTTCGATATATCCAGTAAATGTCTAACACGATGGCGCATTGTTTCAAATACTATTTTACCCACAATATTGTTGCGATCGTATGGTGTTAAATAGCGTCCATATTCATAGAAATATGTATGTAATTTACCCAATTCTATATGCGTAGTTTCAGCTTCACAAACCGCTTTGTGCACATTTTTATAGATATCTGGCACACATACGCTAAAGTAAGGATTATTAATTTTCAACTCTTTAATGTACCATAATGGTAAATTAACTGTACGTCCCGACTGTAAGTCTTCACTTTCAGAACCGGCATCAAGAAATCCTAGAAATAATAGCGAATTGCATCAGCATTTTCTGAGTTAAAATAACTTGGCTTTCGTTCCTTTACCCATTTTCAATAGCTTTGTATTAACTTTACATTCAACTTTCTCTTGTGTCACGAAAATATCTTCTACAGCGTAATAATTAGGGTAATAACTGTGAACATTCATGTTCAATATTAATAAATGAAAAATGTTCCCCTGACTTCGATAAATATATTTTGGCGCCTTTTTTTTATTATTAATTCAAACAGCTGTTGAATGCAATGTATTCGGTCTTCTTCTTCTTGATATTCAGCGAGACAATAACAAATGATTCGATGCGTTATAAAAAAAGGCTAAGGGTGAACACAAAGTTCTGTATTTGGACCTCCTTAATAAATTTGGCCATTAATTTATATTCCGGAGATCGGACCGCGTGGCAAATCCTTCTTCTGGTGGCGGCGCTAATATCCTCACTATCTCGTTGAAGTCAATTTCGTCTTTCGTCCCACCTCTCGATGTTGTGTTCCGAACTATATCGAGCCTTCCATTTTCAATAACTCTATCCGTAAGACAGCAAACTCCTTTTATTCTAATAACCTTTCTGCATCTTTTTTCGACAATTTCTTCGACGCTTCCCCTGCTACCCTTTCACGAGGAACACCAAAAAAATCTTGTCCCCCAAATCCTCGGGGGGCCCGTGCATGCAATGTACCCACCTTAAGACTTCTTATTAGCAAGTACAAGAGACGTCCACCTAGAGAGAACTTTAAAATATTGGCTGACACTAGAAAGGAATATATCTACACGCTCAGATTAGAGAAACGCAAGGCATGGAAAAACTTTTATAATAATCTCAACAGTGGCGAGTGGTCAGCTTATTCAGATAAATCAAACTTGTACAAGATTCAACGCCAATTCGGCTATTTAGAGTGTTTTGTGATAGTCTTGCTGGTCCTTCTGGCCATAGTTTAGCTTGTTTATAATTTGATGAGCGTTGGGACAACTTAGTTTTAGGGGGCATTACCCTCAGTGAACTTAACATGGCACCAAACGTCTCTAAGGACACATCTCCTGCATTAGATGACATTTGAAAAGGTCACCTTAAAAGGAGAGGCTTACACTTCCTAAGGTCTGTTATAAATCTTCTTCTTGTAAGTATTCAATAAATCAACAACAGATGGTCCATTGATCAAAAGTATTAGTAGAGAAGAGTCACGTTAACGTGAAGCACGCAGCGCTTTGTCTGAAAGTTAGCGATTGGTTTTGCTTTGTATGTTCTTTTTGCGAGCTCTCACGTTTGTCACGTAAGTGTGCCCGTGTTGTGATATCTTCTTCTTTTTCTTTTTTTGGCTGCCTTTTTATTATTTTCTCACTAGAGTTTATTCTATTTTGAATATCACAAATCTTTTTTTGTCTTTTCCAATTCTTAATTAAGTCAGCCCTTACTTTAGACTATCGATTTTTGATGATCTCAGGTCTGGCACGTTAATTTTGACTTTTTGACATTTGAGATATTTAAAAGCAATACTCTTTTGTCGTTTTGATTATGCACTCAACTCTTTCTTACACGGTTTTTTTTACCCGATTTTGAAATGACACGACTCACCGATAAGAACAAGTGCACGTTTTAACACAAACTTTCTCTTCTAGCACGAATCGCAGAAAAATTTTTTTTTAATTTCTTAGTGACTTGGCCTACTAGAGGCATATCAGAAGTTTATGGACAATGTTTCTTCATTCCGTTATACTGCAACTTGAACAGAGTATATCGTTGTTCAACATTTACTTTGTTTTAGAGTCTTCAGTTCGTATCAGGTAATGAATAATTTCAATAAGCTAGATCGGCGCTAGCAAAGCGAGTAACATTACAAAAAGGCTATATATGAGCTTACTCGGACCAAACCTTCAATATGATTCATAAGGGCTACCTCACAGTGCAATGGGTAGACTTGCGAATGCCAAGTCGGTGATCGCGATTTCCGAATTTCATACCTTTTAAGTAGCTATATAACGTAGTTACAAAGATTTATGTTCGCCTTTAATAATTTGCATGTTACTTATGTTTGTCTTTAATACTTTAATGCCTATAATATCGTATTCTGTTTACTCACTTTTCTGATTAATATTCTTTGATATAACAACACTTGGACTTAAATTCACTGTGCTAGTGGCTTCAAACCTCTAAGCAAAGATTTGTCTACTTTGATCTGTGCATTGATGATCTTCTCTATAATAGGGTAATTTAGCTTTCTGCAATTGTAGCCAGAGATTAATAAATAAACAAATGTATAAATAAAAACCTCTGTTATGTGCCCTTCTCCCTATAGGTGTTTACGTAGATACAATAGAATCCATTTAAAAACCATTCCTGCTCTTCGGAATTTGGTTTAGAAATCGCTTATCTCTTTGCATCCGCATGAAAATGGATTACGTCTGATACCCGTATCGTCTTTCTTTCTTTGTCTGGACAGCGATCTACGCCTTTTTCGACATGAACTTGTTCTTTCGCACAGTATAGTTTCAATATATTCCATAAGAGCCACACAGCTAAAATGATGGTTTGCGTATGTCTATTGGAAGGCTGCTCATAACAGATGAAAATGTTTGCATAGTAGCTCTCAGCTTTACCTGTTTCGTTAAACTTGATGACTCGATGTCTTTGTACTTCAAATATTGATGAGTGCAAGCTGGCTTGAATTGTCTTTCATGGCATTACGAGTATGCTTTCCCACGTGATAACACTTATCGTTGATCTAAGCTCTTATACATGACATTTATTTTCTCTGTTTAGATATAATTGCATTCCCTGAGCCCACCAAATACAATACAGTGTATGATGTCAAATTGTGGTGTTATACCACTCTTCAAGCTTTCTTAAGAAAAACATAATCCGCCATTTAACTTTAATGCCCAGATTTCTCAGACCTGATAGCCACGCGTGCCCTCATTGTGTCCATAAACTAATTTGCTTGAAAATTGTTACGTGTGCGTTTTCATTGCTTATAGTGTGTTCACTTTAAATTTCAAATTCGGGTACACGGGGAAAGCTTTTATGTGTTTTAGCCCTTATGCTCCCTTAACATTCGAATATTCGCTTTATCGAAGCTGCAATGAGGTTATCCAGAGTAAAAAAGAAAAAGCATTAGATGTGCTCGAAAGTGAACATGGTGTGGATAGAGGTCATCTCTGGATGTTGAGCATTACATATTAATAGCAACGAATGCAGGGTCGTGCAAATGCGAGAGAAATGGATCGAACATTTTCTTTAGCATGTTGCGGTTGAATTTGAGGCCTGATTCGAAATAGTAGTAGATACTTGGCCAGCACGCAAGTTAAATAAATCGAATTTTTATACTCACCACTGAAGGATGGGGAGTGTATTCATTTTGACAAACAGTTTGCAACATCCTGAAGGAAGCTTCAGACTCCCCATAAATTTATCTTATTCTTGATCGGCAACAAATTTTGGATAGATTTAAGCATGTCCATCTGTCCGCCTATGTAACGTCTATGGTAAATATCTTTGTGCGCGCACCAACGAAGATATCGGTTTCAATTCTATTGCTTTTTAATATAATCCAGAAGTTGGGAAATAGATTACATCCACTTGTGGTTAAATTTGCAATGTATTAATATTCAAGAATGAAACTTGTGATCAATAGCGAAGCATTACCGCTTCGTCATGGCGCTGTATGTTGACCATGCAAGCCAGCTAATAGTCTTTAGGATAAATCATTCGATATCGTATTAAAAACAAAAACAAAAAAAAATATATATATATATTTGCTACAGCTTTCGCAAATAGTGTGCTTTGTAGCAGCATTAATCATTCGTGGAGAGTGCATATTAAATGATAATAATTACCTCGAATAAGAAAGAAATTTTAGTTGGCTTGGTTCGGATTTTTGTACATTCAGCGCTAGCTGACATTTAAACGAGGAAACAAACAAATGTTTAACAAATTATATGTATTAGGTTATAAGGTGGTAAGTAAACGTAAAGTTATGCGATGCCGGATATCGGATAACGGTAACATACGAGTATCCGTTCTAAGCGGTATTTAGATATATTAGCATGATCTGGACATTAAGAGACTTTATAGATAGACACAAGCACGAGCTTATAGCTTAGCATTTATTATTATTTATATCAGCTTTCCATTAATTAGTTAATCGAGGCACTTTTAATTGGAAATGTTTCATTACTCTAGGGCAAGTTAGGCCACCTTAATGATAATTAGAAAAAAGAAAAAAATATGAAGTCAAGTTTTACCTTTTGGACAACGTATTAGTAATAGTGAGTTATTTGACAGACAGAGTTATGGTCATAAAAGGCCGCCAAAGTTTTTCTAAAAAAAAATTGATTCGTTATCGCATGAATTGTTTGTTAATTTAATGAAAGGACCGTAGTGTAGTTTGAGTTTTGTTTCTTTGATTATCACGTACATCACTGTTGCCCTGACAATTTACACTAAATAGAAACTTTTTAAGGAATAAAACAAAAAAAAAAAAAAAATCAAAATAAAATAAAAAAAAAAAAATGTAAATTATAAACAAGAAACAGGTGATTTCGAGAAACTAAACAAAACTAACATCAGAGAACAGTAAGCTTTTGCGACAAAATTCAAGAAATCTATTAGAGAATGAGAAAAAGCTTTTCAAATTTTATGAATTACGAAGAACAGATAAGTGTCCTGAAACCGAGCCTTTGACAAGAACGCTAAATCAGTACGGTTTTGATTAACTTAGCAGCTGGTTGATAAAAAAAAAAAAAAAAAAAAAAAAAAATTTTTAAAAAAAACAAAAAAAAAAAATTGTAAAAATTTTTTAAAAAAAAAAAAAAAAAAAACATATATGCATTAAAATGTTATAGAAATCAAATTTGACTAAAAAAAGAAAATAAATTGAAATAATAATAAAAAAAAAAAAAAGTGATAATAATAATGCTGGTGCATTTAAAAATAAATTGAAAATAAAGTTTTCTTTTTTTTTTTTTTTTTTTTCTTTAAGAAAAAGCATTTGAAAAATCAATATGTACACATAATACATATGCATACGTATTTTCTCTTGCGTGTTTTACTTACAAATCAATTACGAAATAGTAACATGCCTTGCAAAGCCTTTTCATTATTGTTATATGAATTCGGTGTAGTTTTCAATTTCAGAAGAATTTCAATTCGATGCCAAATTTAAATAAAAAAAAAAAAAAAAAAAAATCTGTATCCTGACATCAATGTGCCCTATACACTATGTCTACCCACGTACCCTATATATATATATACGCTCCCACAAACTGAAAGTTACCAATACACAGTCACCTAGATTATATAGTATAAATATATATAGGCACAAGCATATATTAGACACCCTAAACTAGCGAGCATTAGGTGCGATATTCGAAAGCTTGGTTTTTCTCTTTTTTTTTTTTTTTAAATATTTCCTCAATTCATGTTCTGCTTTCACAGCTGTCGTTAACAGTTATAAGTTTAAATAGCTTTTGGGTATTGCGCATCCCTTTAACTTAAAACTTATTCTATTTATGCTTAAATTTTATGATTCGATTTACATTCATTTTGCACTCTCATTACATACGTTTGCTTTTGTTTTCATCATATTTGTCGCTACATTTTTTCCAATTTGTTTTCTCCTTTTTAGGTCAGTCAATATTATGCATGATATTATCTCGGCTTTGATATTGTTATTTAATTTAGATTGCAAAAAAAGAAAACCCAAGCGAAATTAATAATAATAATAATAATAATAAGGGAAAGTGAGAGAATCGTGCAAAGCGAAAACGAAAATCAATTTTCTCGCAGCTTATTGCAGGCTTTAAAATGGTTGTTTTGTGTATGGGAATGTACATAGGTACCTAGGTACGTATCTATGAATGTGTATAAGTGTCTGTATGTAAGTATATGCGTAAGACTTCAAATTCTGAGTTTAAATATTACGTTTGAAAGATTTCGTTGTGCCCGATTCAATAAATAATTATTTAAAGTTTAAGTGAAAATAATTAAAATTAAAGCAGATATTAAATAAATAAAGTAATCCATAAAAAGTGTAATTATCGAATAAAAAAAGAATACAATATGGCAACGTCATCGTCTTCAACGCCATCCTCAAGCCGTATGGGCAGTGCTTCGCCGTCAGTCTCAGTTATATGCGAAGAGGTTTTCGATGAAACCTGTCAGCCATCCGAAGAAGGTAAGTCTCACAAAATCAATTCTTTTGCGCCCACTATCAAGAAAAGTCGGACGAATTTTCGCATTCCAATTTTTGCACAATTTTTCATTTAAAGTCGCATCAAAGTGACGTAAAAGGTTAACAGCCTCTCTAAAATTTTACAGAAATAACGTACACTTCACAATTCTTCACAATTATTTCGCAAAAATGTAGAAAATTTGCTTTGCATATTTACAAAGAGCCATACAATAATCATACTAGTATCATAAGGTTCGGTCCAACTGGTAAAAATCAACTTTAACTACAGTGACAGTCTTCTTCAATGTTTAACGCAAGTCCTCCAAGTCCGCAAATCTTAGATGTACTAATCACACTTTACCAAATCGAAGATAAGGAAACGACTTTTCAAAGAGGAAGGACAAAAAGGATGAATATCATAAGATCTTGAAGATCCATTTATCTCGGATACTCTTCAAAGTCCTTTAATCACCATACTTATAGCCTACTAAGTTATTGTATCGCTCGTACTATAATTAACTGACAAAGCTTATTTTCATCCAGCTCGAGGCTTTACGAATAGAAAAATTTCTCTTAACGTTTTCTTCCGTTTCTTTTCGTCTTCTCTGAAACACGCCTCTTTTTTTTTTTTTTTGATTGTTAACGAAGGCACACAGATGCAAATCATCCGCTTTCTGAATCCGAGTTTCATGCCTATTAACTCAAAATTGTTAAAAATTATTTAGAATTAGATGTAGATTAGAATCGGCAGTGGTTTTGCTGTTTTGGGCATGGGTGTACCTGCATACCGGCTCAAAGTCCCCCAAAAAAAGACAGCCAAGTGCTTAGGCCCTTTCAAGTGCGTTTGTCTACTTTCCAGTTCCAATTTAACCGCCAAGTCCAATAGAAACCGCCTTTACATCTATCGTTAAAGTCTTGGTTTGAATTCTCACATTTACTTATGCCTTCTGATACAAGATGGTTATGGCGTCATAACGACGACTACTTTGTATTGAGTCGAATCTTTTTGAATAATCAAAGCAATACGTGCCTGTGTATTGTCATTGTGAATGCTAACGCCGAAATATAGGCCATTTTTCTTCAGGTTACCTTTTAAAATGTACGCAGAACGTGGGAGATGCCTTTACTTGTTGACCGTGATGTAAAAGGTGTAAAAATTCATAAAATTATATTTTACTTGCTCTCACTCCAGAGCTGCAGAACCTCGGACCTTGTGTTGCGTCCGAAATTTTCTAGAAGACTTGTAAGAGATCAAGAAGAGATAACGCCTTTTTTTGTTAATCAGTGCTGGACGCTTTACCTCAATTGCCTGCATTATTAGCGAATAGGTTTTAATAAATTTTAAAAACAAAACCGTGTATTTTACTTATTCGATAATAATTTTTGATTTGCAGATATGTGAATTTGAACTGTGTTCAGTTATTTCGAATAAAGCCGAGAACTCTTTAATTTAATAGAAATGATAACATTACGTATACATTAAGTGTCGGTAATTCTCGTGTCATTTGCATTTGTGGTTACGACTGACTTCATTTTTATAAATAGGTATATATATGCATGCATAAGCTTTTATTTGCCGCTACTTATTATATCCGTTACCGAAGGATTAAGGGTATATTAATTGTGTCAAAACGTTTGCAACACCCTTAAGAAAGCTTCAGAAATCACATAAAGTGTATATATTTTGATCAACATTAAATACCGAATCGATTTAAACATGCCAGCCTGTCGATCTGTTCGTCTATCGGTTTCAAATTTGGCAAAAAACATTGGAAACTTTTACACGCAAATGTAAGGCGGAGCAAATCGATGAAAGAGCACTCGTACAGTATGACTGCAGTAAACTGAGAACATATCCGTTTTCCAGAGCGTAAAGGAAATTGGTATTTACTCATTGCTCGCAAACTACAGCAAATAAATCTGTAGTAACTTTGAGTGTGTGTATTCTATCACAAAAATTGGCCACGCCTATCTAATATTATAGTGTATCCAAAATTTAATTGTTGTTGGTGTTTTTTTTTTTTTTGATTCCTTTTGATGAAGCTTCAAAAACCTACAATAAACTGTATAAGTATTGCTGCCAATTGTCAAATTCGGTTCGATTGTCTATTTGTTCGTCTGTCCAATATTTGTGTAATATCTGTGATAAATATTCTCTTGCTCGAATTTGCAAATGACCTAAAGCCGGCACATTCATTCCAGACTACAATAGGCACTTGATATAAGCCTCGACTTTTATTTAAAAAAAAAAAGCATGAAAAAAGTCAGCCATGCCCGTGAAATGTTATTGATTGATATGGAAATTTAGTTTTTTCCCTTCGTTTTAGTCTTGTTTAGGACAACGATAATGGGTATAACAGGTTCGATGATAACCGAATATTTAAGCATTTACGTGTTCAAAATAATTTATATAAGGCACACCTTATGTTTTTCTATGTACATTGCTACAAGTATCCCTTAGCATACCAATAGAGTTTGTGGAAAGGATTTTTTTTTCTATTTTTTTTTTTATAGTAGAAACTTCATGACATTATGACTAACTTTGGATAAAAATATCGTTTGTTATTTCATTTTTTTATGCATATATGAGTAATAAATGAATGAATGAATGAATGAATGAATGAATGTCATATATGCGATGACATTTTCATTTACCTAAAGGCTGGAATTTATTTTAATATTTATTTTTGTATAAGTCGCGTGTGAAAGTTCGTACAAGAACTTCTTGAATGGAGGTAATTTTCTCAAGTATTGTCGGTCTTAAGTATACTTAATTTTTTCTGCTTTGCTTACGTTACAATACAAGCTCATATACTCATCTCTGTTGATCGTAACGGAGTATTGTGTTAAATACCTTACATGTACTGCGACTTTGCTTGAAGTTCTTCATAATTTCAACCGGTAATAATTTCTTTCATTTGTATCCTATGTATATGTTTACGTGTGTGCAAATGTATATGATGCATAAGTTTCATTGACGCGAAAGCTAAGTATTTAAGTTCAGCTCGTAAGTTCTTCAAACGATATTTTCCAAAAATTTAAAGACATTTAAAGAAAAAGTTCCACAACATATATGTATCTTATCTAATAATATTAATCTATTCATAAGACTGAGGGATATCAATCCTCGAATTTGCGATGTCTATGTGATTAATTTACGATTTTCGTTTCGTATGAGTATTATCGGCATAATGCTCTCCTCCTGATCGCAGGAAGCTCAATTTTACGCCTACGCTCTTATGATAATTGGTAAGCGCTGAAAAGTAAGAAGACGGTTAAGACTTTTCATTCGAGCAAGACTGATAATTAAATATCCTACACTTAAATTCATTGCCACATAATATATCTAATATTCGATTTTTTTGAACATGATCGAACAATTGGCCAATGTTATCCAACATTAGTTTAGTAAATTTATACCAGTAATTATGGTTTCGTCCTAATTTCCACCATAAGGTCAACAAGGCTATATAAAGACTTACTGCTTATGGGAAGGAATTTAGATATATAGATCTTAAAATTTCAAAAATTAAACTCTGCCACCTTATAGATGTTTATGTTTTGCAAGAATGCTTCAAAAATTGAGAAAAGTAAAACATAGTGTTCATAAAAGCGGTGCTCGTGAAGATGATCCACCGCATGGTTCGCCGTTGTAAAGAATACAAGTACGTTTAGTAGACAAACCGGCGGACGGATAGACTGATTACAGAAAACAGATTTAGAAAGCTTTTCTTAATCGATGGGTATAAAAGTAAGGCGAGTCCATCTTAAGTCGTCCAGAATGTTGCATTTAATGTCTCGTTATCACATGATTTTCGTCCAATCCAAGAAGAAGAAGAAGAAGAAGAAGAAATCTCTTTACAACAACAATTAAAAATAACAATTTACTGCGGTCTTTAAGTCGGGTAGGTAATTGGGCCGTACCTTTATTCAATCGTTACAATGAATGGATGCTTTATCCAATGATGTTGAATGACGTTCTTTTGCCATGACGTATATACGATGGATGAGGATGACATTTATTTCAGCTGGATAGCGTGCAATGGTTCTGTTCCTTGACTGCTTCAAAATGACACTCTTTGCACATTGTATGCAATTTCATATCAAAAGTGGCCCAACAATTGAACGCAACATCAAGATATGATGATGAAAATTAGATTCGCCTCTAGCCGATTATAATTTCCTTACTTTCCTTACTTTCCCTACTTACTGTTTTCCTTTCCTTTTTATTATCTGGGTGTTGTAAAAACGCTACCGTACAATACTAAATATTATTACTAACTACATTGAGTGTAGATGTATCTGTCTATCTATATCATTCTTTTATCTATACATAGATTGTAATTGTTGTAGTAGCTGATGGTTGATGGCAAAAATGTTTATGTAAGATTTTTGTTTATCTTCTTTTATCTTAATTCGAGGATTTGTGTCTACTAAGTCGCTTGCACACAAAGAGAGATAAGTTTCTATAAATAATAGATTTTGGATAAAAAGGAATTTATTAACCGCTAGAATATTATAATGCAATCTAGAGAGTCCTTCGCGTTGCATGTTTTTAAATAAAAGCGAAACTATAATATAGAGCTGAAGCAAAATAAAAGTTTAAGTGTCATTTCATGTGAGAACTTTTGCTTCCAAAGATCGCATCCGTAAACACAGTGCGGTATTATGTGTTAATCATTTCTTTTGTTATACCTTAAGATTGTTGCGAAGTGTCAATGGTCTTTACATGTTCTTGCAATTTGACTTTATTAGAATTCCTAACGGTTAGTTCGGCTATTGGGAAAATAACAACGGTAGTGGTATAGCGTTTGACTCGCCCTTCATTTACAATTACTTCTACGTGACATTCAATTCTATGAGTAAATATGGATATAATGGGAACACATTAGGGACAAATAACCGAAAATGTGTCAACAAATCGATCAGTAAGTCGGTGTCACTTACAAAATGTCATTTGAAAAATTCATTTCTTGATGAAAAAAAAAAAAAATGTGTTATGC